GTAAGTATGTATGTATGTATAAATATATATATATATATATATATGTATAGATGTATGTAAGTATGTATATATATATATATATCAGGATGCATCCGGATAATAGTGACTAGTTCCCTACAAAGGGCTCGTATGTGACTTTACTTTGGCAAATAGAGAGAATACACACACACACACATACACACATGCATGCATGTATAACCATAAACACGTGGGAGCAAAAACCCTCATGTACATATCTACCTACCAGATGCTGTACGACGGTAAAGTCCACCTGCTCCTCTCTCGCACAGAAGTGCAGCAGATGGTTGTAGTGTGGAGTTCTGGGTGCCACCCCCATCTCAAAGGACTTCTCTATAGCTGACTTGGCCAATGACAGCACCTCAGGTACATTCACGTGGGTGCGGGTTGGCCCCTCCGGCGCCTTACAGGTCAAAGCCTCCAGGATACAGTGCAAAGCTGTGTACTTATCCCTCATTGTAGGTATCCTGCCCGAGGGCTGCACCTCTTTTTGTCCGTTCTCATGCACCTGCCCCGCCGTTTCTGGACCGCTTCCGGCCCCGTCTTGCACCGCTTCCTCACCTTTGGGTGTAATAGACTCATGGGTCTTCTTCTGCCCAACAGCCATATCGGGTTTCCAGTCCACATCCTTCTCGTATATACTAAGCGCATCAAACGATCCCCCACCCCTATGCGGCGCATACTCCGGAATGTGCTCTGGAATTTCCTCCGTATACGCACTCTCCACGTACGCCTTGATACCCGCATGCGTTCCCGTTAACGTCGTCTGACACGCCTTCCCATAGAAATGGCTCCACAGGTGGTCTTCCGCCATGATCTTGGCGTATGTATGTTTGTTGGACTTCCTTTTCCGTCCACTCCCGGTACCAAAACGTTTCCCACTCTTTACACACGTTTGCGTTTCTGGGCCACTAGAAGGTGCATCCCCATGTGAGTTACTCGCCTGTTCTCTATTGTCTTCTCTTTGTCTACGGGGTGCAGGTCTGGTACTGTACATCAACCGAGATTGTGTATCTGTGTACTGTGAAGGTAACCGTATACCTGGAGCCTGTGTTCTACTGTGTCGTTGTACTGGTTTCTGAGTATAGGGTGAGTATAGTGCATTGCCACTATGTACGTAGCGCGATTGTGTGTGTGTGTGATTGATTGGGTGTATACACGCTGTGTGTATATGGGACGTTCTACTACTTGCATACGGCAGAAGGTTGCCGCGACAAACCCTCTGAATGTGTTGCGTTGAATCCGTGGTTCGAGGAGCCGCTATACATATACCCAATGATCGTTTGAGTATTGCCTTCGGAAGTGAGGGATGCGATTGAGGGCGTACGCAATTGCTTGCAGCAAACCGCACGGATCGTCCCACGCCATGCGCGGGTAGATGGTGTGTGAACATGTTGCTATTTGAATGTGTGCATATGTTCTCTAGTAGGACATGTACAGCTGACCGACCGCCAAGTAGGGTATAGGTATAGTACAGAGGTTTTGCTAGGTAGCCACAATAATGTTTATGTATATTTACATGTACGTGTATATAAATGTGTCTTCGCGTATGTATGTGTGTGTAAATATGGATTTACAAAGTGTGTTTAAATATGGATATACAATTTTTGTATATGCAATATATATATCACTCTCCCTATATGTATAAACAAATAGGAATACTAACAAATACTAGAATGAACTATAGAATCGCTATAGTGTGAAGTTGCTCAAATCAACTAGTTGACTATAAACATACTATAATCTATCCTATTGTTGATGTACCATCGTCCTAACCTTGGAATCTTTATTATATTACATCTACAACTATATATGATAGGAGAAATAGAAATAGAACCACATAAGTGAAAGATTGTACAGATATTTACTATCATGTCACATTTTTTGTTTATTTATTCATATAAATATGAGAGAGCCTCCTCCTATAAGACCTCAGTACTTTTTTACGTTTTAACGTATATTTAATTGTTCATCGGGCAACTTCAAATAAAAAAGGGAAACGTTTATGTATTCTCTTTTTTAAGAATACACGATTGATTTTCATTGGTTGGATGGTGAACGTGTCCGTGGAGTATACTTTACCGGATCGTATCTGGGATAATTTTTGTCTATGTATAGATAGATATATTTGCATTTGAATTAGCTGACCTGATTCCAGATTCCTATTTTTTTCGTTTTTCAAAAACCATTTTTTTTTTTAAATAACTTCCATGTGTGGAAAACTCTTGTATGTTTTGAGAATTTGAGACGAAATATATACTGAATGCTAAAAACCAAAACTGAATCCTAAAATAGAACAGCCAACCAATTGGTTTTGGGAGCCACTACCAGGAGGTGGGTGACTACCGAATACCGAAGTTCATGCAATCATAATATCCCTTGGTTTTTTAATGGCTAACACATTAAACACTACACAATCATCATCTAATTTTTGGTCATTGATTGTGTGAGCTGGGGTTTCCCACAAGCAAATGCATTGTCGTCCTGGTGACCTACTTCTACTAGAGTAGTAGAGAGTGACGGAAAGAGTGGACTGTTGAGGCTGTTCCTGACTGGCGCTGCTGAGGGTATCTGTATTTAACTAGCCACTACTAAATACTACTACTACCAGAAAGAAAAAGCAGTTCATAAACCATTTAACTTTGTACTTTGTCAGTTGTCAAAGGCAAAGGTTGTTATCTCACCAAAACCCACACACACTCACTCACTCACTCTAGAAATATAAAAGTCAAGAGCACTAAACCTATTGCAAGTGATTAGCTTACCGTTGCCATCATGCTGGGAGACTTGGAATATACACCGAAGAACATCTTCCTGACGGGTGGTGCAGGTTTTATCGGCAGTCATGTAGTCGAGTACATGGTGAGTTTCTCCCGAGCGAATATTCCTATTTATATAGAGGTTATTTGTGCTATATAGTGTGGTCAGTGGTATGCGAATTATAAGCAGCAATAGTTATGTTCATATTGACTCGTAGTGTTGGGTGTGGGCGTTTCATGTGAAAAGGATATTTATATATCATCTTCGTATCCAGGTGTGTGTTTCTCAAGTATATAGATATTTATATACCATCTACATATCCAGGTGTGTCTTTCCCAAGTATGATAACATTAGGTGGACTTGTATGTCTTTATGACCTCTCCTATCTATGTATGAACTTCTTAACATTGCAGAATTGTATTTACCAGACTTGGCAAGCTGTCAATTGGTGTAGAAATATACGAAATCACACATACCACTATGAAGTGTATATTGTACAGACAGAGTTCAGTTGAAGATGTGGATATATACGTGTATCCATACTCTTTTCTAGTATTGTGTGAATTCAATCTTTTAGATATATATATATATATATCTTTACATATATATCCCAAACACATCACACAACCGGTATATATCTATGTATTGTACAATTACATACAGTGCATGGGTTGTATTCACTCATTCTATACGCGCATGCGACTTCACCAGAGTATGCCCAAACACCTCAGCTATCTCACACCGCAGAAGCGCCCCCAGAGGAACTACCACACGTATACTGTCAATAGCTCAGGCATGCTCTTGAAAACAAGGAACCATGGACACTAGGGTCAGCTATAGTTATAGTGCTACGTATTGTTCTCGCCTCACTTTCGCCTGCGTTGGGTCTGAATGTTCAAAAAGATGAAACACATATAGCACGGCATATGTCTGCATATTGTTAGGGTACTATAGTATAGACATGCCATGGCAGGCGGCCTTGCCCACATATACGTTGAACGTATCACCCGTTGGAACACGCACACTGCACGTCGCGTTATACGCATAGCGATTTCTAGTAAACTACACACGACGCTAATAGAAGTAATCACTCAAAACGTGTGAACGTGAACGATCCCTTGTTTCAGGTAAACAAGTACCCGGACTATCAGATCATCTGCTTCGACTGCCTCGACTATTGCGCCAGGTATGTGTCTACTGTGGCCGTGAGCACGCACTACCAATCCGAACACATGTGCTACTATCAGGTATTTACGTATATATATATATATATATTCTCATGTATGTATGCATTTCTTATATAAGCACACACTTATAATTTTGCGTATTTGTATTGTACACGAAGCTAGCCCATATAAGAATATTGACAAAGTAAGCGTGCGTATGCGTCAGTAAATTCACACAAATCAGCACATGTCGCTTCGTTTACGTATATCTACACGGACTTGTTGTTTGTAACATGCACCTATTCGTGCCGTGTTCCGAAAGGTTGGTTGTCGTTTGGTTATTTTCGCGACACACTGCCACATACTTGTATAATATATATATATCACCAAAGGGTGCAGTGATTGAAGTTTAGTGTTTATGTTATCGTGTGTATATTATCACGCTTTCAAGACAGTAATCCGCACATGCCTTCACATGCACACGTATGGATGGGGACGTATTCTTATACATATACAGCTTTTAGGATATCAATCCCGATTCTTATTCAGCAATTCCCATTTTCCTATCGCATCAACACCCTATTTTTTTTTTGCCCCAAATCCTTTCTACACACGCAGCACCAAAAACTTCGACGCCGTCAAGGACAACCCCAATTTCGTGTTCGTCAAAGGAGACATCCGCAATGAGGAATTGGTGACGCACGTCTTCAAGACGTACAATGTCGACACAGTCATGAACTTTGCCGCGCAGAGCCATGTGGATATGTCGTTTGGAAACTCTATTGAGTTCACGAAGGTACGCGTTATACACCATTGTGTGTGCTGTGAGTGTTCATGTGTTTAGACACCATTGTGTGTGCTGTGAAGTGTCTATGTGTTTATACACCATTGTGTGTGCTATGAATTGTCTATGTGTTTAGACACCATTGTGTGTGCTATGAAGTGCCTATGTGTTTAGAAACCATTGTGTGTGCTATGAAGTGTCTTTGTGTTTATACACCATTGTGTGTGCTATGAAGTGTCTATGTGTTTACACACCATTGTGTGTGCTATGACTGTCTATGTGTTTATGCACCATTGTGTGTACTATGACTGTCTATATGTTTGTACACCATTGTGTGTGCTATCAGTGATATAGTACTAATCTTATGAGTAGGTGTACCTATACATATGATATAGTACTAATCCTACGAGTAGATGTACCTATACATATTATATAGTACGGATCCTATGAGTAGGTGTACCTATACATATGATATAGTACTCATTCTATGAGTAGGTGTACCTATACATATGATATAGTACTCATCCTATGAGTAGGTGTACCTATACATATGATATAATACTCATCCTATGAGTGGATGTGTTGCATGTGTGCGTCAGTGTAGTTGTCACTCATACCCTCCCTCTCGTAAGTGTTGTGTGCGCATGTGCTTCTGCAGTCTGCGTGCGTGTGCCTGTGCACATACGTACTTTCTCCATAAACCTCTCCAACAGTGAGATAGATTGGGAAGTAACTGTCGCATAGACACGGTTGTCCACTTGGGTGTGTAGCCATTGTATGCAGACTCGTGGTTGTACCCAGATGTGTCTCGTGGTTATGTACGCATGGGGTGCACAAACGTACTGTGGCTGTCATAACTGTATATATAAGGGCATGTTGGAAGACTTTCGTGTGGTTAATGAGCCTATCTCAGCTCTAACCTGCCCCTGGAGTGTGCGCGGGTGCCTATAGTGAAGCGTTGTATCGAACAAGGTGTGCGAAGAAGCTGCTCTATATATATCACGTTCTTTTGTTATACCCACGTGTGCACTGACCCTATGATCTACATGCGATCTAATATACACGCCAATACCACCACACATGTACTCCATCCCTCAGGGCAACGTAGTAGGCACCCACCGTACCTACCTACTAAAACACACGCCAATACCACCTCACCTGCAAACCATCCCTCAGGTCAACGTAGTAGGCACCCACCGTACCTACCTACTAAAACACACGCCAATACCACCTCACCTGCAAACCATCCCTCAGGTCAACGTAGTAGGCACCCACGTGCTGCTAGAGTGTGCGCGTGTGCACAAGATCAAGCGCTTCATACACGTCTCCACGGATGAGGTGTACGGAGAAGTGACCACCAAGAACGGTGTGGAGGAATCACACACCCTAGACCCTACCAACCCGTACTCGAGCTCCAAGGCGGCGGCGGAGCTGATTATCAAGGCGTATATCAAGTCATTCAACATGCCTATTATTATCACACGAGGCAACAACGTGTACGGAAATGCGCAGGTGTGTGTGTGTTGCAGTTGGTATGGGTGGGGACTACTGGTGTACCTGATTTGGTCAATAGAGGATTTTACTATCGATACGAGGTTGCTGCTGTCAGGGTATAGGTTGGTAGTCGAGGTCTTTTCAATCACTGTGCGTGATTGTCATACAGGTTTACCATGTCAGATGTAGATGTATGTATATATATATAACCATCTGACACACATACCATTCCCCCCCCCCAGTATCCCGAGAAGGTCATTCCTAAGTTCATCCTGCGCTTGCTCAGTGGCCGCAAGTGCTGTCTACACGGAGACGGTTCCGCCAAGCGTACCTACATCCACGTACGTGACGTGTGTACCGGTTTTGATACCGTTTTACACAAGGGTCAGCTCCACGAGATATACAACATCGGCACAGACGAGGACATCTCTATGTTGCAGCTGGCAGAGGCGCTGGTGCGGCTTACGAACAGTCGCAAGGCTGGGAGTGAGGGAGAGTTGATTGAGTGTGTGGTGGATCGCGCCTTCAATGATTGCCGGTACGTCCATAGCGTTTTGCATGGAACGGTTGTGTGGGAGTACTGGGTGTGTGTGTGCGTAGATATACCTGTATAGTGGAGTGAGAATACTGGGTGTGTGTGGGAGTAGATATACCTGTATAGTGGAGTGAGAATACTGAGTGTGTGTGGAGGTAGATATAGTTATGGTTGAGAGAACGCGGTGAGTGGGTGGGTGTCCAATATCTTCCAATATGTGGGGTCTAAACGCTGTATATATATGTATGTATGTATATTTATATATATATATGTGTGTATATACATATATATGCGCACAACACCGAACATATACGGAGTTCAAATTACAAGCAGCAAAATGCATGCCAGCGAATTGAGCGAGAGGGTTAGTTGTATGTTCGAGGTGTGCGCAAGGTCACTGGTGTTTTGAACTGGAAGTTCATGTATGTATGTTCGCTTGCAGTACGTTCTAAAAGTCTAGGCGCTAAAAACCCTAAAACCCTATAGCATAGATACATCTAGTTTCATCGTACGAGAAGGGTTTAGCATGTGAGTGTGTGGGGAGGCTCGGTCTATTCAATGATTGTTCGCTGTCGTGTCAGCAGAGACTGCGCATTTAACAACAGCTGTTTGTGTACTCTCTGTGTTGTAGGTACAGCTGTGAATGTGATGACATACATCACCCCACTACCACTGGACTCACACGCCCCATCATTAACCACTTGCCACACTCCACTCTTCCTCTTCCGCTACGGACACTTTAACATACATCACCCCACTACCACTGAACTCACACGCCCAATCATTGAACACTTGCCACACTCAACTCTTCCTCTTCCACTACAGACACTTTAACATACATCACCCCACTACCACTGAACTCACACGCCCAATCATTAACCCCATGCCACACTCCACTCTTCTTCACCTCTACAGATACTTCATCAATTCGCAGAAACTCATTGACCTCGGTTGGAAGCCGGTGGTGGACTTTGAGAAGGGTTTGGCAGAGACTATCGAATGGTACCGGAACTTGGACCCCGCCTACTGGCCCGAGTTCTCTCATGCCCTCGAGGCCCACCCCCCGATTGTCAAGGTGCAGGACTACTAGGACAGATGTAGTTGGGACCGGGTAGCGTGACTGTGGGGATGATGGGTGCACTCAGGATGTAGTGTAGTGCAGTATGCCGGTGAGGTTGTACTGTGATAGGGGGCCTATAAGGATAGATGACTTGGTGTGGGTGTACTATTTGGGCTTGTGGGTGGGTCAAATAGGACTTGATACTACTGGCCCTATGCCTATGATTCATCGAATGGTGGAGAAACTTTGGAAGAGACATAGCAGATATTATAACATGCATGCATCAATATATCCGGCTCGGAGGATGTGAGAAATGGACAGGGCTCGATTGCACCTCTAGTTTGTAGTGCAGCCAGTCGTACTAATTATCAGTTAATCAAGTTAATGGACCAGCAGAGTAATTGCAGTTCAAATTTATATTTAAATAAAACCTACCAATGGGATATGATGGGAGGTGATGCTATTATTTTCCATTCTCTCGTGCTGTACTCCTTACAGTTATGTGTACAGAATTATATATATATGTGTGTGTGTGTATATGTATAGATATATGTATGTTTTTGTATGCATCTATATCTGTATCTATACAAACTTATTTTTACCTTTATATCTATATATTTAGATATTCATATCTACATATATATATATATATACATATATATATATATATATAAATATATATATATATATATTATTTATTATTTATATAT